ACCGGACACAAAAACAAAAAACCCTGATTCGCTTCGTTTTCCCGCTGCTGGCTCAAAAACACCTGAGGGGGGCGACCTCCCGACCCGACCCGACCCGGTAGCACCTGCAGAGGTCAGTCAGTGTGTGGAGGGTAAACACGGATCAGAACCCGTCTCTGTACATTCAAACGGGTTCAGAGAACCAGAGTGGAGGGAAACGGTGCAGCAGAACCGGGTCGGTACTTTGTGCTGCTGGAGTTCTGCCTGGTCCGGTCCGGTCCGGTGTTCTGTCAGCTTCACTCAGCATGAAATAAATAAACGCTCACAGTTCAGCTCCTTTGCTGTGGTTCTGCAGGGGGGGGCGGCCCGACCCGGTTCCGACCCGCCTGCCGGGTCCAAATGAGAACAGTTTCAACATGGATGGCTTTCAGTTCCAGACGGGTCCAAACACACACACACACACACACACACACCTGTGGCTTTTTGTGGACTCGCTGCAGACGGGGGAGGAGCCAGCAGACCCGGTCATCAGCCAATCAGAAGCTCCACAGGAAGGAGGCGCCGACCAATCAGCTCAAACGGCCCATTTAAAGTTTAAAATGCTAAATTAGTTTTAATTAATTCATGGAACTTTAAACATGCATTAAATATTTTAATCATAAACAGAAAAATTTCACTTAATGGTCAAAATGTATTAGTTTTTTTAGAAAACGTCCTGCTTTTGTTGCAGTTTTTAACTTAACCACTAGATGTCAGTAAAGTTCTACGGAAACGATCTGCTGGAGCTTGGAAATAACTTCAGGAGCAGAATCCGATTAAAGATGTTTACATCTAAATCAAATAGTCTGTAAGAAGAAAAGTGGAACAATAAAAAGTTCTGCATATTTTAAGGAATTAAACTCATTTTGTTAAACGAGGTAAAATCGTTTCATTGTAAAGTTTTAAATCTCATGAAAACATTTTCTGGTTTTATCAACAATCTGCTGCTGAATTTATTTCCGTCTATTAAAGTCTTTGGTTCTGATTGTTTTGTTAAATCTAAAGTTTTCATTTCCCTTCATGGATCAAAACGTTTCAGCAGCTGCTGATTAAATTCACAATCAGGTGGATTAAGACTGTAGCTGGCTTCCAGCTGCTGCTCAGAACCGGA